ATTTCCGGGCGAAATCGCCTGCCAGCGCGGAAGCGCGCTCCCCGCCCACGCCGCCGCTCTCTCGCTGTCGGCGCTTCCTGCCCGGCTCTTGCTACCGGTTGCTGGGTGCTTGTGGGTGTGTGATCCACGCATCAACCGATAGGTGTGTCTGTGTGTGTGTGTGTGTGTTTGTGTATCTTCGTTTTCCTTTAGTCCTTTCACCAAATGCTGAGATATTTCTTTCTTTGTTTCTGTAGTCAAAGATAGAGATGCGACATCGATGTCGTTTTCAAAAGATCCATGTTTTCGTAGAAACGCCGATGGTTTTATCATCGATATGTTGTTTTCTTTTTCTATGTTTTGTTTCTGAATTAAAAATTCCCATGACCACAATACTGTACAAGTTAAAATATGAAATAATAATTTATTGTAATTCTATTATTCTTGTGTTGGAACCAAATGAACACTGCACCACCTTCATTGATAAAAAAATCTCGCCCAAGATGACATCCATGCCCTTGTATATCCTTTTTCTTCATATTCATTTTGCACATTGAGATATGATCAACAAATATGCTGTTGGCTTAGGATCTGCCTCTTCTTCTCATACCCTTATTCGGCGAATTGATAAACACAAACACTGTCAAATTAAATTTTAATGCACACGAATAGATTCGTTTTTTTGTAAATTCGTAGTCAGGATTAGTAAACGCTAACATTAAAATGTTGGAGGTTTATCCAGTGTAGAAATAACATCGTGGTTTTTTAGTCGATGTATTTTTAACAACGATGCTTTAATTTTAACATCCATGTTTGCTAATATATTTGTTTTGTCGCATCACTAATTAAAGATAGCAACTCTCCTCTCAGCTTCACACACAGTTTTCATTGCTTTTGGTATTTTTTCGATTTGGGCCAGTTTATTATAGAAGGATATTGATTTACGTGGATTAAGAAGTGGGACGTACGTTTAGTATATAGCAAAACCCAGGAAAAATAGTTTTACAGAGCAAAAATAAAAGAAAGTCATTTCAGCTTCATTTCCCATGCCTTCATTACGTTCATCGTAAATATTAAAGGATGCTAGTCTAATATAGTTATTTGAAAAACTGAAAATATAAATGTTACATATCATCTCAAAATGATTTTAGAACAATATGGGAAGTATCGGATTATAGATAGATAATTTCATTTTAGATTATGCGGTGACTTAATCTAATGTCCCTTCTTAAAGTGTACCTTGATTTTCGTATAAAGTCAGGTATCGTACGATGGTTAATCGCTAGGAACTGTTCCTTGACTTGAAGTATTTATTTTTTATGTATATTTTTTATACGAAAGATGCTTTGTGCGTTTTTTAAATATATGATGTTAAACAAATGCCCCTGAAAGAAATAATCTTCGTTGCGGACTTTATCATATTTCAGAGCATTTCTCCTTTCACTAACCGGATATACTGCAGTAGTACACTGATCTTTGCACTCAATGAGCTTAGGAAAATATATCATCCGATATTTTTACTTAATAACTCACAATATGGGTATTCCTTAGAAGAAATACTAAAACATCTAGTGCGTAAATATATTTTCTTTGGAACTTATAAGAGTGCCTGATGATGTATCTTGTCCATCATTTGAAATTGAACAAAAATTCAAACTCTCTCAGTTGAACGAAGTTTCTTATCGGAAAAAAAAAAAGATTGTGATCGTCATTACAACACTTAATCTATAGTTAAGTTTTCCCTGTTCTTGACGTGAACTCCACAGCACCCATCACTACCTATTCCTGTTATGATTGTAGTCTCCTCTACCTAGCCTCTGAAATGACTTTTATTAAACACAAACATTCTCCGCGCGTTTGCTTAACCGTCGCACCCATCGCTGATATTTCTGAAGCTCTCTTCACGCAGATTCCGCCGTTGTTCGCAAGCCCGGCAGCACCACTCCGAAACAGTTGCGTCTATCTCTCTGCCGTAATCAATACGACCCTTCCGTTGCTGTCACGACCATCGGTCTGACATTATCACCGCCCCTGTGTTCCAATTCTCTCCGCCGCGCGCACGCGTCTCCCGCTACACACGCTGCCACACGCCTGTACCCCTAAGCGCCCGCTCGCTTGCACTCGCTCCACGATTTCGCCTCCAGAATGTGGATTCCTACAGTATTTGGGGAACCCCCGTAACCTGGGGATTTTTTTCCCAGTCTTCATCGCCTCAGTCTTCGTTGATTGCAAATGCACATAATTTTGTGAGCAAAATTAGAGATTAAATGTGAAAGATCTTCGATTTTTAAATTTTTTGTTTCGTTGAAGAAAAATATTTAATTCGTTATAATATTGGTTTCTATTTAAAATTTAATGAATATTAAAGCGATTCTTTAGGTATAAAAGGTAACTTGGGCGAGCTCACTTCCTAACCTCCTAATCTCGCAGGCTATTATTGTAGAAAAAAGGAAATGCATAAAGGTCCTGCAGATGGGGGTTTTTGCATTTACGTTAAAAATAATATCGGGTCTATCTCCTTGACGGAATTAAATGTCTATTCCCTTGAATATGTTTCTGAATTATCTGTAGTACATCTTCCTACGCTAAAATTATATAACCTGGGGATTTTTTCCAGTCATCATCGCCTCAGTCTATTCTCAGTGGCATTCATTGCATTAATCGGGGATTTTCTAATCCCTTACTTGTGCTCAAATCGCTTCGTGAACCTTGTGTAAAGTCGTGTCAAATGCTTCCTAAGGAAAATACTTATTAGTTCACGTTGTTATGTGGGAATTCTGTTGTACAGTACAAGCATTGTGGTTGAAAGGGCGTTTCCGCTTTGTTCCGTACGTATGCACGAGGTGGTAATACTGAATGCTTCACAACGCTGCCGTTTTAGCATGCTAATA